AATTTTATTTTTCTAATTAATATTAAAAATAATTTTATTATTGTTATAAAGATAAATATAAATTATTTTTTTTAAACATACAATATGGATGTTAAATCGAAGCTCATCAAGAGAAGATTAATTTGATATATTACATATGTAAAACTGATAAAAAATAAAAAAGTTATTAACTTTTAAAATATATATACAGTTCAATAGTTATAATAAGAAATGATGTTAAAATACAATTAATACATGTAGCATGATCATAAATAATCAATATATTTATGGTAATCCGAACCTAATTATTTTTTGTTTGGAATTAAATTAAAATTTACCCAAGCCTAATAACGAAACATGTAATTTTGCCACATAGGATTCCGAAGCACCAGAAGCAGCCACGTAGGCTCAGCGCATTCTGTATTAATATATAGGGGGGAATAGGGGGAATATAACTACTTGAAATATAAATATATTAGTTGATAAATAATTTTATTTTTCTAATTAATATTAAAAATAATTTTATTATTGTTATATAGATAAATATAAATTATTTTCTTATACATATAATATGGATGTTAAATCGAAGCTCATCAAAAGAAGATTAATTTCATATATTACATATGTAAAACTGATAAAAAATACAAAAGTTATTAACTTTTAAAATATATATACAGTTCAATAGTTATAATAAGGAATGATATTAAAATACAATTAATACATGTAACATGATCATAAATAATCAACATATTTATGGTAATCCGAACCTAATTATTTTTTCTTTAGAATTAAATTAAAATTTACTCAAGCCTAATAACGAAGCATGTAATTTTGCCACATAAGATTTCGAAGCACCAGAAGCAGTCACGTAGGCTCAACGCATTAATATATAGGGGGGATATTAAAAATAATTTTATTATTGTTATATAGATAAATATAAATTATTTTTTTATACATACAATATGAATGTTAAATCGAAGCTCATCAAAAGAAGATTAATTTCATATATTACATATGTAAAACTGATAAAAAATACAAAAGTTATTAACTTTTAAAATATATATACAATTCAATAGTTATAATAAGGAATAATATTAAAATACAATTAATACATGTAACATGATCATAAATAATCAACATATTCATGATAATCCGAACCTAATTATTTTTTCTTTAGAATTAAATTAAAATTTACCCAAGCCTAATAACGAAACATGTAATTTTGCCACATAGGATTTCGAAGCACCAGAAGCAGCCACGTAGGCTCAGCGCATTCTGTATTAATGTATATAGGGGGGATATGTACTTATATTATGAAACATTGTTTTTTTATTTATATTAATTTTTAATGTATTATATTTTTAATATACATAATTATTGAAAAATATGATTGTCCGACCTTCAGTGATATGCATTTATATTTTTGTGTTAACAAATTGTTTGATCAATATAAAAAAATGTGGACTATGTCAACTGTCGTATTTATATAGTTTTCGACTAGTATTTGTTTCTATATTATTACAAATGTGTGTATGTCAAATGTGCATATATACAAAAAAAAAATATATATATTACAAATGTGTGTATGTAATATTAAAAAATATAATTAGACAATGAAAATCATACTTTATAAATCTTATTATTAGTAAAAATGAGGGATATAAATATAAAATATTTAATTTACATATTAGTATTTTGTATTGACTACAATAATGTAAGTTTTGCAATTTTGTTTGATTATGACCAATTCATTAGATAAAATAACATTGAAATTATTATTATAGAAATTGTGTAATATTTTAAGAGATTTAATTATTCCACAAGAAATAATTAGCTAATTTTAATAAAAAAAAAACTTGTTTAGTGAGTTGAAAGAAAATAATTATAGAATATAAAAATCATTTATCGTGACTTATGTTAAAAGTAGCTATTGCAATAAAATAAATAAAAAATATAATTAATTAATTAATTAGTGTATATGACTATATGTATTGGACTCTGATATATATTTTATTTTGAAAATATGAATATAATATTGAAAATATGATATATATTTTATTTTATTCCAACTGCCGGTTGGTTGTATGAAAACTGGCTCATTTTTCTTACACCCAACGGTCAACGGTCAACTTCACTCGTTTCCTTTTTTTTTTTCCTCCATATTTGGGCCCATTTGTGTTGTGTTCATTTTGCACTTCCAAGTTGCAACTAATAACTTCACTTGTAATTTTGCTTCTCTTACAAAGAAAACTGATTCTTCATTTTCTCTTTTAGGTTGAGAAGGTTTAATTGAAAGGTTCCTCGAACAATGTGATATCTTACACCGGGTAAAGTAAATTCGGAGAAGGGCTTACTAGGGAAAGCGTAAGTGAACTCGATCCAGTGGAGGAGGAAGGTCGATCATGATCGCGCACTCGATGAAAGAGCTTGAAAGTTGAAACTGATTGAAGTTTTGACTCACTGAGTGAAAAAAAAAGGCAAAAGTAAGCTTCTCGAGGTACAATGTTTGAAGCACACATGTTACATATGAGTTGATGTTCTTCATTTGTAAATGACAACAAATTAAGTTTTTTTTTTTTTTTTTTTTTTTTTTNNNTTTTTTCCACTTATAAGTTGGTCTTGTGGGAAATCCTTTGTATTCACTGAACAAATATTTTATGTTTTCAGTTTTCTTAAGTGCAACATAACAAAATTTACTTATTTTTGGGTATGAAAATCAGAGCTCAAAAAAGCGTAAAGGTTAGGAGCTCTTGTGGACCGTGCTCTGTGGCGAATCCAATTGCTCGCCGAAAATCACGTCATAACGATTTTTATTGACGTCCTTTTATTGTGCCAATTTGTGTGCAGCGATTACTATTGCTTGAACAGTATTCAAGAACTGACCTTAACCGAAACAATGTAATTGATTCGGTTAACACATTGAATCATTTCGGTTAATACAGCACCTTGAGTAACTAAATTACAAAAAGTAATTGATAATAACCGGTCAAAAAATTACGTCTCACGTAAAAAAAAATATCAAAAAACTAGTTGAAAATGTAGAAACAAATTATGTTTCCAAAAACAAAAAGAATTGGACAAGGTCACAAGGGAAATCCATGAGAGGAAAAAACAGTGAAGTCCAAAAATATAATTTGCAAATTAGACCTCTAAAAAAGGTTGAAAATCACGGAGGCTATTTAATGAAATCTCCCGCTCATATTTTTGAAAATTTCCCGCCCAGATCTGAAAATCCTTCGGCGCATATTCGCATTGTCCGCTTTTCTGCAACTCAAGTCTCACTTTTCCTTTCCTTACATTACGCAACCACCGCATCTTAACACCGCCTCCGCCGCCGCCGCCGCCGCCGCATAAAAAACCTCCCGCCGATGGCACCGGTGCATCTAGCTCCCCCAGACTTCTCCAGAACGCAACGCTTGGTCCTCCTCGTAGATCTTCACCCACTTCTCGCCGTGCGAAACCCTTCCTCCTACATCGCCGCCGTCATATCCGCCGCCGACCGCCTCCTCCGCTTTCCGCCGCTATCCGCTTCTCTCTCTGCCGTCGAGCTCTTCGTCTCCTCCCTCTCCCCCCACCGCGCCGAAGCTGTTCTCTCCCGCCAACTCTCTACGAGGCCCCTCTCCTTCAATCTTGCTCCCCAAACCCTAGATTCTCTCTCCGCCGCCTTAAACTTCACTCCTGCCCTTTCCGATCTGCGAAATGAGCCGTTCAGCTCGCGTGCTTCATATGCCACCAGCTCGTTGGTCCAGTTGATTCATGACTGTGTATGGGAGACCGAGAAGAAAAATGATAGCTTGTCAGGTGAGGATTCTTCTATTGATAGCGGATTTATGAAAATTCCTTCGAATCTGGTTATTCTATTTTCACCTATTTCTCAGTCAATTGATAGTTTGGTTGATTATTTGGAGATGCGTGATTTTGATGAGGTGTATTGTGCTGTAAAAGAGGCATTTGTTATGAGGGACATTCATTTGTGTTGGGTAGATGTCAAAGCTGATGCCTTAGAAACTGAAGGGGCTGATATCAGGAAAAATGACTGTAGGGATGAATTAACAAATTTGAGGAATTGCATCGAAAAAATGGGGTGGGGTTTTTGTTCTAGCGATATGATTGTTCTGGGATCAGCCTTGCTTCCGTTAGGTCTGATCTATCCAAGAATCGGGGTGTCATTTAGTTTTATGGATTACGCTGATACTGATAAGATAGAATCTACTGGGGAGCTGAGCTTAGAAATACTGGACGTGCACGGGATGCCATTAGAATGCAAATTTTGTTATCTTGAGTTTGTGAAGATAAATAGTTTGCCTTACACTGTGAAAAATGGTGATATTCTGAGTGACACTCAATCTCAAGATCAACAGAGCTCGCATGGTCTAGATGGTTTTTTTCTCCGTTTAGGTGAAGGGAGAGTGAAGGTACATGTTAAGAATGTCTGTAGATACGATGAGTATGAGATTGCTGGTGGGTCGTCAGAGATTTTATTAGTACGTGAAGATTTCCATGTATCGGGTAAAATTGAGACCAAGAGTGGCAATGACTTTCTTGCAGACAGGGTTCTTGACATGCTGCATGAAGAGAAGGGTGGAGTTAATTGTACAAAACAACTACCTACATGGCAAATGTTCTTGAGTTTTCTTCATATAAAAAGTTACTCGGCCTTTGTGTCCCTCTCAAGCAATAGTGGAGATGCATTGATGGGTTTTCTGAAGCCTTTTACTGCTCACTTGGCAATCCTCTATATTATGGATGGTAGTCATGTTATAGTTAGAAATACTAGTGGTTCCCATACCAAACCCTCAACATCTGGTAATTGCATACAGTACAGGGATGGGAAAATGAAAAAGAGTCAAAGAAATCTATATCAGAAAATGACATGGAATTCCTTCCGCACAGCTGCCTTTGAAAGATCTAATTTAAACTTGATTGATTTTTGCCGGGCTAGATATGAAAAATCCAAGAGGCTAAAGTTCTTTACGTGCTGGATGAAACAAATTAGTAAAGTCGATGTGGATTTATCAACAGCACTATCTGATTCCAAGTCAGTGGGGGAATTAGCTGCTTCTAGTGCATTTTTATCTAAACCATCTCCAGCAGAAGATGAGGCTAATCTCATTCCAAGCTCGGAGACTTTAGAAATCTTTTTCAACAATCTTTCCCAGAAAATGCAGCATGGCCTAGAATCAGGAATGGACTTGCAGAATCTTGCCGAGCATGTTGTCAAATCATCAGTTCACTGGTTAAGTTGTAACCGTGAAATTGGAAGTAATTCAGAATGTCAACAATTGCTGGTAAAACAGCTACTAAAGTCTCCTAAGGAAATGAAGGATATACACCAGGATTTGAAATCCTGTTCGACTGAAACTATCATCAGAATGTATCCTTATTATTAAGGATTTGAAATCCAGTTCACTGTTTGTTATATTTTCCAGTGCCATTTTTATATTTTCCTTATAATTAAGTGTTTCTTTAACTCCCATTAGATACGAATTGCAGATTTTTCTTCGTATAGAGATTCTGAGATCAGAAGGTGTAGCCATTTTCAGAGAATCTAGAAAAAAGAAGCTGATGAAGCAGATATGTTACATATTAGAGATTATACAGTACCTCATAGCAGGCGGAGTTCATGGTCATGTTAGCTTATATGATTATGTTGAACGGACTATTAGAGCAAGGTAAACACTTTGTTTCAAATAAGTTAATTTTCTCCTTGACCTTTATTCATTTACTTGTCTCTTTAATTTCAATTTTGTCTGTAGAAATTATATTGGAAAAGAAAGGGTAGGTTATGCCTAGTAATTTGATTATGATGAGTAGCCTAAAATGCCTTGCTTTGTCAATTGTACCAAGAAAAATATGACAATGGAGTACTCTTTGAAAACTGCATACTCACAAGAACCTTGGAAAAAACTAAGAAAATGTGAAACTCAAATTTGTCCAGGTACATCGATAAATTCGAGGACATCGTGGAAAAGATATATACAGAAATGGATTTACTGCCATTTGGTGACGAGGAACAAACTCCGATCTTTTTGTTCAACAGTGAGGACAGCGACCAATCATGGAGAAGCAAGTGTAACTTAAATGAAAAGGTCGAGACCAATAACATTAGCCACTCTTTCTCTACTGAAGGTGAAACCTCACAGCTCCCTATAAACAATCTCGATAGCTCGCAAGAGATTGGGCAGGACGAGTACACCCGAATCCTACACGAAGCCCATGAGAGGAGGGAGCAGGCCCGAAGGCGTGCCCCTTTTGTGGGCAAGGCCCGTGATTTGCAGCGAGTGTGGGCCCCGAAACTGCCGAATGTGACGAAAGGCAAGTTCTGTTCTGGCCCGAGCAAATATAAGAGAAAGAAGGATAGGGAGTAGTGTTGTATATGAGAGACTCAAATGGTGGGATATAAACGGGCTCGCTCGGGAGGATATTGGCAATGCGGCAATGGAAATAAAATTGGTGATGAAGATGTTTATATTGTATTCTCTTAGCCAGGTTACACATTGTTTGTGTGAGGTACTTAATTCAACCCTCTCAAGTATAGTTGATTTTCACATTATTTTTGGCCATTGTCGGGAGCGTTTGAGAAAATTAATGAAAGCTTGCATCTTTGCAGATGAATTAAGTAATAATCCATGTGTGTTGCATGCCATGTTTTTCCTGTCTACTGCTTTTCAGGCGATATTAGAGACGAGTAGAACCGTAGAAAATTTACTGTTTGGGGGTAGATTTCACCAAAATGTAGTTTAAGTATAGAATTTAATGCGTGATAATTTAACACTTAATTTTACCGTCATTTTCAACTAGAGTTGACTCGACTAGGATATATCAGAACAATCAACAAGTCAACAAATTAATTTATTTGTTTATTAATATTGTGCTTACATTACAGTGATACGGATCTATAAGAGATATCATATTGGTCGAAACAAGATACGTCGGCAAAATAATAAAGGCCAGGAAGAAGCAAAAGGTCAGATTTTGTTGGACGTTCAAATGATGAATAATTAACTATTTCTCAATTTATGCACATCATCCTTCCACAGGAACCATACAAATATTCTCCGTATCGTTGAAATTTTATCGAATGTCCTCGAAGGTACATGATGAATAATCAACTACACTTAATTTAATGGGAAATGCTACGGTCCTGTTACAGTACCATCCCGTCGAGTGTTTTAACAGTTGAATCATCTATCTTATCTAACTACATGTGGATTCAACGGCTAAAACACGACGGATAGTACTGTAACGGAACCATAACATTTCCCTATATTCAACATGTTTTTTAGATTCTGAAGTACAAGCAAATCCAAGTGGGTACTTCAAATCCACAGATATTTGTATTTTTGCATATATACTGTTTTATCATGGAATGATAAAACATGGCGGACTACCAAAAAAAAAAAAAAAAA